GCATTAACGTATCGATTGTATTGTTGAGTTTATCAAACATGGCAGTCTGTCTCTCTAAGAGTGTTTCTAGATATGAGCGTTCATTTTGTTGATTGTTTGATCGAGTGCTTTGTTGGTCATTTTGTGGTTCTGATTGATGATTGTTATGTAGATCGTTGTGTGGTGTGGTCTTGGTTTGATCCTGTCCCATTCGTCTGTTTCAGTGGCGTGGCGTGCTTTGCGATGTATCGATTGATCTGTAATTTAAACCTATGGAAAAGGATCGATTAACAGGGTGTTCGCAGCGAACACCTTAGTAATCGATTCTTTACCATGGATTCAAATGGGGAAAAATCGATAGTCGATCATTCACGCCACGCCACTGGTCTGTTTAGTGGGAAATTTTTGTCGTAGGCTCTGTTCCAGAAGTTGTCCTTATTTGGGGAAGGTTTGGCTGCATAGTGATGGTCAGTCTCTTTATTTGGAGGGCGATTAAGTCTGGAGGCCTGGCGGGATCAGGGTTAGTTTCATCAAGCGACAGTCAAAACCCTATCTCAGTCTTTTATAGATATGAAAAATTTAATTTCCTTTCAAAACTTTAATTTCTTAATTTTTTCAGAAATTTGCTTTTTGAAAAGCAAAAAAAATATTAGATTATCAGCAATTTTCTCTACCGTAACTCCTACGTAAAAATTTTGCATTTTTTAAAATGAAATTGTCAAATTAGATCGAAATTTTCAATGAGCACCTCCTGAATTTCATCCAATAGCAAGTTAAAGGCATGAGCTTTCTCCCCCTTGAGCCACAACGGAAGATCACACAAGCTTTGATCGTAAGGCTTGTTGTGAGGAACACATTTGAACCCATCCACATGCTGAGTATTGTTTCGAAGTTTGAATTTTTAGGAGAAGGAGAACAGTTCTAGGCAAGCCAAGCTTTTCTCGATTCGATTTTTTTAAGGTATCACTTGGTCTCCTCTCGTCAAACATTGGACTAATTCCCTTTTAACAAAAACCGCGTAACGTTAATATAAACCTCCTATACTGCCGTGCCAAGGAAGAACGCCGTACGAACTTTCAGGCGTTGCCAAATTTTCTTTGATAAAACACAAATTTCCTAGTAAAATGAATATTTTCCTCTCGATTTTTCAGATAATTTTGTACGCAATTTCACCCAAAGTTCCTGAAAATTTCAAGGGAAAATATTCATAACTTTCCTGAAAAATGGACTTTTTCTCGAAAGAAATGTCGCAACTCTCGAATGTTCATACGGCGTTCTTCCTTAGCACGGCAGTATAAGTCTACGAATTTTACTAAGCAAAGACGCTCGAGTATCACACTGAGCTGGGGCAAGGCAATTTCATTAGGTATGCAAGCGCTGGGGCCGATATAAGCTCGCTCTCTGTTGAGACTCGCGGGAACTAACTCATATTCGCAACCCTTTACCCCGAGCGTGTGCGATTGTTGAGCTTGGCGCATAGAGCGCGGCTGCGGTTCGTCGACGCCTCGACCCTTCCTCAACATTGACCGCCGTTTCTGCTCCGGCCTTCATCCACACCGGTGCCAGATATCACGAATAGAGTACACTGGAAAAAAAAAAGACAAATTGGATCTGGAGTCCAGACTCTTGAAAACATTGACAAGAAAAAATACTCTTGATTCAATCAGATTTTTGCTTAAATCATAAGGAAATCCGCTCAAATTAAGAGGCTTGGTTCTTGATTTAAGCTAAAATCCGATTGAATCAAGAGTATTTTTTCTTGTCGATGTTTTTAAGGGTCTAGACTGTAGATCCAATGTGTTTATTTTTTTTTCCCCCAGTGTATCCTTATACAGACAACATGGACACACCGGGTACCTTTTAGAACCGAATACATGGTGGCAACTTCGGATGGTTCAAAGGTGCCGCCAATCTGATCAGCACTTAAACTAGAGGAATGCCGATCTCTACAACCATATATATATATTTTTTTTTTTTTTTTTTTTTTTTTAGGTTTTCAATCCATTTGAGGATTCTGCAACCTTGAATGAGCATCAGGTTAGGGTTAGTACACATCCACGCTCAAGGTTTTCAAATTTGCAGGGATTAAGGCCGAGTGGAATCCGATTCTACAGATCCACTCGTCAGCTTCTTGAAAATTTATCGCCACCACCAGGACTTCAACGAAGGACCTATTAGTCTAGAGTCAGACGCGCTATCCGCTTAGCTAACCTGGCCGGACACCATACATCTTAATTTGGGACGTCGCAGAATGCAGGTTTTACATCATGAAAAATTAGCAAACTATTCAACGTAATATCTTGAAGATTCTAAAGAATATCCCAGGTATGTAAACTTCGAGCGATCCAACTGGATCATTTTCAATCACAGGCATATGTAGGAAGGGTGAATTTGAAAATTGATAAACAAAAATCGAGGTGTGGGGTTTCTGAGTTTATCTGTCGATTTACGCAGTGAAAATGCGAAACCAGTTTTAATATTTGTTTACCTCATCTGTTTTTCGTATAGTGACTGGTTAAAGTTACATATGTCCGAGAATTGTATTTTTCTCCTCTTTTCTTGTTTTTTTTTCTCTCTTAAAGCTAACATTAATCCGTTTTGCTCGTGCAAAATTACCTCCAGATCCCTATTTTCAGGCAAATTTGATGGCTTTTACCTTTAGGGTCAAAAGACCCATAATGATTGTTAAGAACCGTTGATAAGTTCTAAACCGTATAACAATAAGAACTAAGCGTACGTAAGGAGAACACTTTGATGAAAACTTCGAAGTGGAAAAAATATGTACCACCTTGATTTATTTACTTTATATTATCGTGTATTATTGTCAACAAGAAGAAGGAGGGAGAAGAAGAACATGACCGGGGCACACAAGGAAAACAAGCGGAAGGACATGTAAATCTCGTGACAGGTTCGAGACATCCGAGCGAGGGTGGAAAGACGACACCAAGACACGAAGAGCAACAAATTCGTCGGGCTGAACATTGACAGGAGGTGTGAGCTTTGAGTAGCGTGTATTCAACATGCAGGCGTCGGGGGTAGTTTTTGTGAAAGGGAGCTTTTGACACCGGTAGGTAGACGGGTAATTGAATCAGCCTAACGATGACGAGAGAGGGATAGGCGTCACCGACGTGGGGAGCCCGCCGGCCGCGCGGGGGCGCTCGGGTGGCTCCAAAGTAAATGCCATTAAAAGCTTTAGTTGATTGTCGGAGTCAATTTCGCTTCTGATAAAATATCACGGCTTTTGCAGCTTCCTCTTTATGACTGATATTATAAAGCGTGAAGATTGCCGCGCCGGGGCCCCAGGCTCCTCGTGTCAAACAATTCAAGTTAATTACTCTGATGTACTCTCTAGCTACCGACGAGACGCGGTACAACAATCAGCCGAGCGACCTCTCGTTGGATTCTCATCTGAAAGGCGGCAAGAGTGCTCGGACTTGGAATGGTGGGCAAATTTAGGGAATCGCAGAACTTTTACAAGTTTTGGAGAACATTTTTGGGTGGCTCGAGAGCTCACTAGTTTTCCGGGTCGAATGTGCCTCCAGACAAGGTATGACTACCGCCGTGCTAAGGTAGAACGCCGTAGGAACGTTCAGGAGTTGCTGAATTCCCTCTAATAAAATGCTTATTTTTAAGGAGAGTTATAAACGATTTCCTTTGGAATTTTCAGGCAATTTTGATCTGCTTGCGAATAAAATTCTTTGAAAAATTGGAGGGAAAAAGTTCACAGATTTCTCTGAAAATTCATATTTTATGAAGGGAAATTTGACAACGTCAAAAGTTCTATACGGCGTTCTTCCTTAGCGCGGCAGAATTAAGGAAGTATGCAACATGTTTTTTCTTCAAAATTTCACGAGGAAAGCGGTTTACCCAACAAGAGGTCTATAGAAATTAACTCCTGAACAAGATATAAGGACTTACAATCAACATTGGTTATCATATGGCGAAAACACAAATGACGTCCTTTGTATAATTTAACTTCCATTTGATCTGCGTCAAAAATACTCATTAGTATCTCGTTCAGGAGTTGATTTCCGAACTTTCCACCCTGTGAATCTTTTTCTACGTAAAATTTTGAAGAGAAAACAAGTGAAGTTTACTACTAATTCAGAACTGGCCTAACAGTTTATTGCTAAGGAAAGTCGAAAGTTCCCCGGTAAGGCCCGGGGATTTAAATACAATCGAGAAAAGTCCCACACAATTCGTGTAGGAGACATAAATTGGCCCACTGAGCCTCCGTAAGTATTTTTGATTCACGGCCATTCCAGTGTTCTTTTAAGCTATAACTCGATCAACCCGTTATTGGTTTTAAACTGATATTGTTTTAACTTCAAGTCTTCCTCTAATAATTACCCAAACTGTTCTTTGGAACTTACCAACTTTCAACGAAAAAAATCATTATATATGAGCACTACAAACAGCTGTAACATTCTTTCAGTGTATGAGTTTCAAAGTAAGCCTTTAAATAGGAATTTTTAACAGGTTTTCCTATGGTTGACAGACACAAAGTAGGCAGAAAAAGATCATTAAATTGAAAACCGTGGTATCCATACCAACAAGGTGCTCGCTTGTTTAGGTATCTAAAATAAAGAATTTATTTATCAAAAAAAGACATGGCCAATGAGACCAATACTGAACTTACCAATTTTTAATTATACAACGAAAAATAAAGAAGGCGGTTTAGGCAGGTCACTGCAAGTTTGGTTCTGAAGTGATGATTTTTAATAGTTGGCGCACTTCCGCATGACAGAGAGATAGATCTACCGATTTATTTTTTACCAATATTTGCGGTGAAGCGTATCATAAAATGGCAGTGTCCTACCAATGTGTGGCCCATGCATCTTAACTTTAAATTTTATTTGTCGCATGACACATTGTTGCAAAATATCTATCCCATATGCTCACCGAGCACCCTCCGTCAGAGGTGACGAGCAGGGCGTTTTTTGAAGTTGATTTAGAATATTACTGCCGAAATAATTCTCTCAAATTGTTTAGTATAAAGAATACATTTTTTTCGTGCTTACCAGAAAGTTTAAAAGGCAAATCGGCTACTCTTTGAGGATCGAGGGGGGTCCCAAATGGAAAAGCTCTTGGTGCAAAGTGAAACGGATGGAATGACTGGTGCCCTGAAAAACAAACTATGCAAAATGAGATCCCCTGGAAATACAATTGAAAGAAACAAATGCTTAGGCCGCTCATAAAATACGTAACTGCGACATTCGGATCTTGTGCTCCATATCTCCCCATATTACAACCGAAATGTAGTTCCATGTCCCCCTTAAGAAATGGTCTAGCATTTTGTTAGACCCTTTCGCCTCTCTCTCCCTGAAATTGGCGTTTTGTGATGAATTTGGATGAAAAATTGCCACCTCACGTCGATTTTTCATGTTATACTTTTGAAAAATCGGCACTACGCACGCGTCCATTCGAGCATTAGGTTAAGCAGTCTAAACTTCATCTTCTCCTTGTAATGCACCCGTAACGCAGGCTCAGCCCCCCCCCCCCGAGCGTCACGTATATTATGAGCGGCCCTTTCACTTTCATGAGTGTAATCACTAGACCGTACTTCAATCTTTCTTATTCTTGAAGTTTTTCATTTGGGGAAAGAACGGGAAACAAGGCTAGAATACAACACTAAAACCCCGAGACGTTTAGACTTAGGAATGAGTCATTTGTTGTCAGCAAATTTGGACAGTGGAAACTTAATTAATTGAACAAGTGATTGATCATAATGCTTATATGTTTATAGGAGATGAAAAAGAAGAGACTTTTTATTCTCTAAGAAACCTTGGTTCGTTGCAACAATCAGATTCCTTTTTTTCTGAAAACTTGGTTCCCTCTTTCTAAACTAGATCCTTTTGGGAGATTGGAAAAATAACTCCGTGAAAAATATTATTCGTAAACAATATAAGATTCAAACAATGCGAACTCACTTGTTTTCGAGCGAGGCTCCCTAGGACCATCAACTGTGACCTTGATGGCTTTTGCATACGTTGCTACTTGTGGAGGACAGGAGTTCAAAATTATCGTCAACGTGAAACTCTTCCCTGAAACAAAAACAATCCATTAACTTTATTGTTTACTAGAGTAAATCAGCCACAAACATATGCGTCCTTTAAGATGTACCCTTCCTTTTCTTTATGTTTTTCAAATACATAGAATGAGTGTTTCCTGGATTCATAACTGACTAGGTTTTCCTCAAAATAGTTGGGGGTGGGGGATTTTTATTTTGACCCATAGAACATCAGAACACATGGCATAACACCCTAGCTGTTTAACTGCATGGAACACTTTTGATTGATTCCGGACAGAAATACATTTCGGTTTTCACTCTGACATTTTTAACAGTGTTTAAACCTTACTTAAGGTGACTCTCCAGCGGTACATAGTGATTTTAGCAGCTTTACAGCAATATGAACTACCTAAGTAGCACAGTACCAAGAAAATAATTGAAAATGCAATTTGATTTCAATAAAATTTTAATTTTTTTACAATTAAAGTGGAATATTTTTACATTGTTTAATCGATTTATGCCGGTTTTGAAAAATAAAAAAATTTAGCTCTATATGTCAGAAAATCAGGCAATTTGCAATGCAATGAAAAATTGCAACTTATTTCAATATTGCAATAAGTTTCAATAAATGGAAGCTGGGGCCCCTTCAAATAGGAGCTAGACAACCTACACAACACCCTGTGGAATTGTAATACTTTTACTATGTATTGCTACTTATTGGAATCTGTGCTACTTGCAACCCGTGTGCCCGTGCAGGTTAGAGTACCGATACAGCGAGAGTATGGACAGATCGCTTCATTAAGGGCTTAGGGCCCAAAAGTGCAGCCACCCTTCTAACCAACTTCCAACGCACAAAATTTCACTGCCAGTCTGTAGATTCCAATTCTAACGAAGATGGCTAAGAAAGTACATAAATGAGCGTTCTTCCGCAAAAACGAGTAAATTTATGCAAAAACTAAGTCAAATACGTGCATAATAAACGATGGTTCGTAACAATTGTATTAATAAATCGCTCTGGATAATTGAAATTCATAGGTTGGCTGCATTTCTGGGCCCTAACTTTATTCGCGGAGGCATCGGTCAAGGCCTGATGAATTTTCGGAGTTTCACATCCGTCTATACTCTCGCTATACAGGTACTCTACTTGCAGGTATGCCTCTACGAATAACGGAGGAAGATTTGGCAACAGGGCTGGCGGAAGATATACTGAGGCAGGGCGACCGGAATGGAAATGATGGTAAACCGAGGCGGGGCTGCCTCGGGAGCAGCGGGCACATTAAAGAAAAGCAAAGGAGCGCTAACTGTGGGCAGAATCGGTTGATTGGGCTGTTTTCATAAGACGCTTGTTGGATTGAAACTGCATATTTCATAAGAAAGTTGCTGGCGATGCTGCTCGGCGCGGCGGAAAGCAATTACACTGTGTGGGCCCGGGCGCGGGCGGCAAACCGCACCCGCGACTCCGCCAGCGGCGAGCCCCGCTGCGGCAGCGCCTCGTCTGTTTCCCAGACCCAGAAATTATGGTTATGTGGTCTCATTCACCCCCACTCTCCCCCCACCGCCCCTCGTCTCTCTCTCTGTGCTTGGTGATCTCGCTTTTCAGCGCTTTCAGCTCCGTCTCCTGGCTGCCATCGGCTTTTTTTGCAGGAGCGAGGTTCAACAGTTGCCAGAGAGACTACTTCGTAACTAATCCCAAGGAAAATTGAGCACTGGTAAAGAAAAAACCTCTTGGTTCAAGATTGCAGTTTCTTGTCGCCGGATTTAAGAGTCTGGACTCTAGTTTCAATGCAAAATCCGCTTGAATCAATGCAAAATCCGCTTGAAACAAGAGTTCAAGAGTCTTAAATCTGGCGACAAGAAACTGCACTCTTAAGTCAATGCAATGCGGCATTGGTCCAAGAGGTTTTTTTTACCAGTGAGGGACAAGCCGGAAATAAGCGTACACGGAGAAAAAAACCTCGTGAGTGGGACCCGAAGTGGGTCATATGGATCTCTGAAGTTTTCGGATTGAGCATCTGAACACTTTAGGTCTAGCTGTCGAGGTTCGGATCACATATCTAAAACTTCAGTTCTTACATCTGAAGTACTTCAGATGTGAAATCCGAAGTTTTCGGAAGTGAAAACCGAAGTTTCTCAGATGTGAAAACCGAAGTATTTCAGATGTAAGAACTGAAGTTTCAGATGTGTGATCCAAACCTCAGCAGCTGGACCTCACGTGTTCGGATGCTCAATCCGAAAACTTCAAAGATCCATATGACCTAAACTTCGGGTCCCACGCACGAAGTTTTTTTTCTCCGTGTATCTAAAAAAATCGGGGTTTTCAATATTCTTAAACACTCAGTTGATAGGGAGCGTTTTTCCCCTTTTTTTTCAACCTGCCTCTAGAATTCTAGTATACTAGTGGCCATGCGTTCAAATGGCGCACCAGCTCAGCAGCAAGATGGTGGAGAGGGGCAGGGCGGTGTACCTCATTTTTAGGTTTTTCGAAATCCGAAAAGCGCTACCATTGCAAAAAAAATTTATAGCACCGGTGTCACGTTAGCCTTAAGAAAACTATCAAACCTTTTATAGGCAGCCTAGTGAGGTTCTAATTCCTTTATCTCTATTTCATAAGCGACTTATCATAGAGGAAAAAGAGACTTGCGTCCCCAATTTGACGAGCAATCATGGTCTTTCTGACCTCTCTAATCGATTACGTATTCATGTTGAGGAATGTTCCAGCCTACCCGATCTTTTTACATCGAATAGCAAAATAATCTTCAGTATTTCATCTATTCCAGACAGTTTCCTTTTTGTTTCACCTTCGGCTTTGGACAATGACCCTGACTACTTGAAGGCAAGAGGAGAAGGAGGAAAGTTGTACAAAGTTTGCGTGTGGTCAACAATTCCGCCGAAAGAACAGTTCGACACACTCAAACATGAAGCCGATCGATAACTAAGAAAGAATGAATATCAAGATTTTCCACTAACTTCTCAAAATTTCAGAAAAAAAGTGAACTTAAAGAAGAAAATCAAAAGCCCATAAATTCCGAAGTGTTTGTGATAATTTCATGTTTGAATGAACCCAAATACTTTGGCTAAATGTTTTTTTTTACCTCCGTGGCATACCCTTCATCAACGTGGCGTACATAATGGATTTTAGTGCGTGCCTCACAAAAACGCGCCTACATTGAAAACGGCTGAGCGCTTCTTTAATACAGACGTTTCAGAGCTTATTTTTTTCGAACCATTAATAGATTTCTGAATTTTAGGATTTAAGTTTAAAAAATTTGCCTTCGGTGTAACCTATTGGTCCACTCAGTTCGTTGAGACACCATATCTAACTTTCTATTGCGATTATTTTCAGAGCGCTGTACGTACCTTTTACATACGCTTCCATTCCGACATGGTCCATTATTAAGTTTTTGAACAACAAAAATGGGTTAGTTGCTTTGGTCCCAGAATTGCTCTCTGATGCGGTTCAAGCACATAGACTCGCCCAAAATGGTAAGATCTGTCCAAACGCGTAGTTCCACGTCCACCAATAAGGAAGAAATCGCCCTTAGAAAAACCCACAATATACCGCTATCCACCGTTGTAGGACATACTACGATCTTAAGAAATTCTATATTCATAGACAGAGAATAGATGATCCATTTAACTGTACTTTTCGGTGGATTTCACACCGGCATGAAATACTATAAAACGGATGATACATCTGCATAACGGATCAACGGAAATTCCAAAGAAATGTCTAAAGCACTGAAAAAAAACTCCGGCCGTGGAAGTCGTACTTACGGACTATATAGACATACCGTCCGCGTTCCGGGCTCAGATGCTAAGAGTTCTGGGCGTAGCATCCGGAGCAATCGAAGTTACGGCCCCAGTACCCGAAACTTTCGGCCTTTGAGCCCGGAACGGACGGTATATCTATATAGCCCATAAGTTTTTTTTTCAGTGAGTAAATGGCGTTTATATAGTTCTTTCATATACTCTGATCACAATTTGTCAAAAATATACGTAAACTGGATTGCATTTTGCAAAAAGGAACCACTAGCACTGCAATGTTGTTAAGATTGTACAACTTCTTTTGTCTTGGAGGAGAAAACCCGATTATCCATCAATAGTTTCTATTTTACTCGCTAAAAACTGTAAATTTAAGACAAAAATTACCATCTAAATTTCATAGTTTTTCACGATTTCCGCAATTTTATTGCAAAATATGAAGTTGTACAATCTTAACATCATTGCAATGCTAGTGGTTCCTTTTTGCAAAATGCAATCTAACTTATCATCCCCCTTTTGTACATGTGGTTTACAAAGCCGTACCAACCTAGAGAAGGAGTTGCGCGAAAAGTGAGCTTTGAGCCCATTAAATGGAAACTAAATTTCAGTATAAAGGGCCGAGCCGCTCATTTGTTGCAGGGATCTAATTCGACTGGCGCAATTCACGGTGGGAAATTAGATCATGACACCCACGTGAACCAATCATCTAATTATGAGTCCGCTCTCCACGCCGCCAGGCTGTGGTGATTAACCCCCGCATCCACCAAAACTCGCTCATATGTTCTGTTGCCAAATCATCGACAAAAGAAACGATACCTAGTTTTCCAAACGTCAGTTCGGAAAACTATGCTAACGTCCGAAGCAAAATTTCCGCAACACCACTTTATTGGTTTTGCTTTGTTTTCTTAAAAATAAACACTGGTAAAAAAAAAACCTCTTGGACCAATGCCGCGGTGCATTGACTTAAGACTGCAGTTTCTTGTCGCCGGATTTAAGAGTCTTGAACTCTTGTTTCAAGCGGATTTTGCATTGATTCAAGCGGATTTTGCATTGATTCAATCGGATTTTGCATTGATTCAAGCGGATTTTGCATTGAAATAAGAGTCCAGACTCTTAAATCCGGCGACAAGAAACTGCACTCTTGAACCAAGAGGTTTTTTTTTACCAGTGAATAAATAAATAAATCCCCACTTAAGCGCTTTGTTGATTGCGAATCAATGAAAATACACCTACATATTCTCTACATGGCTGTGACGTACACTTGAAAAAAAC